GGCCTGGAAGAGGGTCCTTGCCTCCTCTAAGTCAATCTGTTGTCCTCTGAAAATTTGTGCTTGAAGGTAACAGTCCCACAGGGAAGTACAATGAAAAAAAGGAATTTTTTGAGGGGAAAGAAAGAGATTTATACTATCAAACTTGCCTCTCCATTTTTCTTTAAAACAGAAACAGGAATACTACACTTACTGGTTCTCACATCCCCTAGTGCAGGCCTGCCCACAGGCCGAATGTGTCACACGCTAGTCACGCCCACACCCGGTGTAGTGAAGGGGGGGGGGGAAGTCCCAATATGTCACGTGATGCCGCCATGACACCACGAGTTTGATACCCCCACCCTAGTGGGTTTACCGAAACACAATTTAAACCTTAATATGTTGTGACAACCCAGAAAATTGTGCCTAAACACGGTGTCAACTAAAAAGATACTCCTTTGGTCTTTTTAGCTGCCAGAAAGAGGGAGTGGTTGGAAAACAGAGCATTCCTAAAGTGCCTAGATAATCACCCTGGCAGCCCAAAGTTGTTGGAGCGCAAGGATATTACTGGAGAGCATGACTGATGACTTTTGGGGATGGATGTGTCCCATTGGAGAATACACATCCAGGGGGTGGGGGGAAGACCAGGGTCAAGGGGGAAATGATGTACTTTAGTATCGGCTGCATCCAGCCAACACCAACATGGCCACTTCTAATAAATCAATTTTCTTTTCTCTGAGACGCGGCTAGAGACTTACGATTTGAATGGGGGTGGATTTGTTGGAGTCCTGACATACAGTTTGGCAAAACAACTCCCGAGGAAGCTGTTTCTTAGTTCTGGGATGACTTCCTCCCATTAGAGCAGAGCGTCTCAACCTTGGCGAGATGAAGGTGGGTGGACTTCAACTCCCAGGGCGGGGGGGGGGGGGGGGAATTCTGGGAGTTGGTCCACCCATCTTCAAGTTTGCCAAGGCTGAAAAACACTGCATTAGATCCAACCCCGCCACCTCCCTCCCTGGTAGTCTCCAGATACAACCTGAGCAGAGGGTGGTATTCAGCTAGTTCTGACCAGTTCTGGGGAACCGGTAGTGGAAATTTGGAGTAGTTCGGAGAACCGGTAAAATCCCACCTCTGACTGGCCCCGCCAACCCCATCTATTTTCCACCTCCCATTGAGTCCCAGCTGATAGGCTGGGTCTCCTTTGGTTGCCCTGCACAGGAGAACGGAGCTGGAAAGCAGGTTAGTGGGGTGAGGAGGGAAGGGGGATTTTGCAGGGACCTTCCCCTGCCACGCCCACCAAGCCACTCCCACCAAGCCACGCCCACAGAACAGGTAGTAAAAAAAAATATTATCCCACCCCTGAACCTGAGATTAGGGAGAAGCTGTTGCGTGTGGCCTCCACCCCTGGCAGGCGGCACGCCAGCTCTCGTGTCTTACCTTCACCCCGTCCTCCTACCGCAAAGGGCTTCTGAAGGTGAGCACAACCCAGAGAGCAGAGAAGAGAGGCAAGGGGTATTGTGAGCAAGGGATGAGCCTCCCCCAACCCCCAACCCCAGGTGTTTGGCAGGCAGGAGAGAGACACGCACCTTTGCCTTGGCTCGGGAAACTTTGCGCTTTTGGGTTCGGGCTTGGGCTGCCCCGATCTTTGGAAGAGGGAGCAGCAGCACGCGAGGCCCCACAAGATGGAGGCAGGAAGAAGTTAGAGGAAGGACACCAGAGAGGGTTAAAAAAAAAAAAGGCATGAGTGCAAAAGGCAAAGAGAAAAGAGAATTCAAATCCAAACAGGGCTGGAGAAGGCAGCTTAGCAGCCTGACCAGCTCAAGCATGACTGGACCAAGCTAAGAGGGCAGCTATCTGCTTGAAGAAACAGGAACCAAGGCAGACCCCCTTCAGGGTTGAGTTTTACTGGTTAGTAGAGCAGAGGCCGTGTAACTTTAAATCAAATCAAATCAAGTGAAACCAAACCTTTCTTGTCAATGCACAACACATGTACAGTGAGCCCCGGTGCAGCCCCTCCCCCCAAAAAACACGAAATACATCCCAATAACTCAATAAATGAAAGAAATAGAATCCCTAAACCCAAATAAGTAATAACTAACGCACATTCCCATATACTATATGTATGTAATGTTATATTATATTACATTGGTGTATGAACGCGTTGCGCTGGCCCTGCAAGTCTATCGTATTAAACCTAATTGTGGTGTGGACTTGGTTTTTTTATACTTCATTTGGCACTTTAGTTATTGGCAGCAATTCAAAGGAGAGAAAGGTGGGTGCTTATCTCGAGGGACTGTTTGGGACTCATTACAGGCTGGGAATGAACATAATTCCCAGCGTTGAAAATAAAACAAGAGTTGTTTTAACTAAGTGTGTGCTTCATTGTGGTCTCGGAAGCCTTGGTCAGAACAACGGAATGATGAGAAACCCACTTCTTCCTGTGCATGCTGATCTTCCTCATCTATCGATTGGCAGGCTTAAATCCAGGAAGCCCCTGATGGCCCTCGCTCAAAAGCTGACCAACAACTTTGACAGCAACCCACAAAAGCCAAATGGGCTGTTGAACACCCAGATACAGGCAGTTACATAGATGACCCTACACCAGGGGTCTGCAACCTTAAACACCCAAAGAGCCATTTGGACCCACAGAAAAGAAAACACCGGGAACCAATAATTTAACAACCAGTGTGATAGGGTGGCCATGTGGCCAACTCAAGGTCACTCACTCCCACCTAGTCACCTGCTGCTCTGGAATATGGAGCAAGTCCATCCTCCGCCGTCACTCTTACATTCTCAGGCCAGGTGAGGAGTGACGGGGAGGGGAAGGGCGGGGCCAGCCAGGGGTGGGATCAGCCGACAGGGAGCTGCAGCAGAGGGCCGAAAGAGCCGCATGTGGCTCCAGAGCCACAGGTTGCAGACTCCTGCCTTACACAAAAGGTGCCAGGTTTTGACCTTCCTCGCCAGCATGGGTCAACTCTGAACAGGATCCGTACCCAACACGGTGACTGCGAGGAGTCCTTGTTTAAGTGGGGTCTTGTCTCTACCCCTCAGTGTGACTGTGACACTCCGAATGTCCATCAAGAGCTCACACCGGCCCAATGTCTGATCTTTTTTGAACATAGACCAACCACCCTGTCCTTGAAGGGCTGGGTGGAGTAGACATTAACATTTGAACCACTGTTAAGTCCATGTATTTGTGCGCTAAATAAAAATAAATGTGGGTAGTTGGTGATGTTACAGCCCAGTCCTCCAAGCCATTTTCAGACCTGTTGACCCCTAAATCTGGCCTACAGTCAACAGATCTCTTTTGGAAGAAGTGGGCCCTGCAAATAAACCAGAGGGAAAAAAATACTTTCAAACTGGAGCTATTATTACAGGTAGTTTTCGACTTATTTGGGACCTGCACTCACTAAGCAAGGTGAACCATGCCAATTCTATGCATATTCCCCCCCCCCCCCCATGCTTGTTAAATGAATCACTGCTGTTTTTAAGTGAATCAGGTGGTCATTAAGCAGATCTGGCTTCCCCCATTGACCACTTCTCAGAAGTGGCTGGAAAAGTCGCAAATGGTGACAAAGGGACGTTGCAACTGTCACAAATACTTGATGGTTGCCAAGTGCCTTGAATTCGGATCTTGTGACCACGGAGATGAAGTAATGGTTATAAATGTGAGGGCTGGCCGTAAGTCCCTTTTTTCACTGACATTGTAACTGTGAACAGCCGCTAAATGAATGGTTATAAGTCAGGGACCTTCCGTCCTGTAGAGCAGCAAATGATAAGTGGCATGTTTCTAATTTCTATTCACATCGGGACCCAAAGGGCATCTTATACAAAGGCTTGTATAAAAATTCAGCCGAATCCTGAGTGCCCAGAGCAAAATACTTCAATAGTGCCCACTGAAAGCCATGGGACTAAGGACTAAATTGCAAAGTTAAGTATTTAAATAAGTTTCAGGCCCAAGCTATCAATTCTGAGACATGGGTAATTATTGGGCCTCTGAAGATATTATACTGCAAAAGCAGTTTATTGTCAGCATTCATGAGCACTTCTAATCAAAGTGAATTCTATAAATCCTCCAAAGCTCATTCATAATCCCAGATGCTTTTAGTATGCAGAGCATATGCATATTTGAATATTCACATGGAAAAAAAAACCATTCAGAGAGAAGTGTAAGAAATCATAGGTTCACAGTTGATCGTATTACCTTTCGATTATTTACAATCCTATCTTATCCCCCCACTTCTGATTTAAATAAGGTTCAACTTGCCTGATTTAAGCAATTAATGAATCAAATTTAGAAACCACCCATCTGCCTTACAGAGGGACTTGGTAGGTGTACAAATAAAACAGTAAAACGCAAAAACAGCATGTAAATTTTAAAGAAGAGACAGGGAAACTTAAAACCCAACATTTTAAAAAGTTCATTACATAATTGTTACATTACACCCAGTGTAACTATATGCAGAGGAAATGGGTTTTTTGGCTTAGTCATAAATAAATGCAAAACTGCACTGGCGGGAAATGAGCGAAAACCTTCATGCTTTCCTTCATGCAGGAAAACCATTAAAACGATCTTTGTTTCTAATTTGCAAAAAAGTGCCTGTGAACTCATGTTTCAACGTGGCATTTCAGCCACAGCCACTTACCTCATCCTCCGTGTCTCCCCCGTGCATGGTCCCAACAAGCCGTTTGCTCGGCCGCCCTAAAATACACCATATTTGTCAGAAAAAGTAACAAAAATATAATCCAAGCACATAGAGGTTAGCAGAGCTAAAAAAAAAGGTAGAAATGTTCACACCTGTTAGAATGGGCACCTTTTTGGTGGGGATTTCGCCCCTCCAAGGAGCACCTACTCCTTTGGCTCAGGTTCAACTAGGTAAGATGGCTTAAGGGCTTAAACTAAAGGAAACTGACTTGGTCTAAGACTGTTGGTCATCTGCTTACAAAAGCTTTCACTGCTAGAATCTGAGGCTTTGGGTCCTTCCACTGGGAAACAGTGAGTGAGTGTTTTATTCCTGAACAACTCTTGGTGGGGGGAACATGTGAAAGAATGCCACAGGTTGCATACACACACACACACACACACACACACACACCGCTTTAAAGGCACCTTGGGGTGAGAAAGAAGCTCAAGGATATCTTGGCTTGACTTCTCTAGACTTAAGAGAAAAAGAAACGGTGGGGACCTTGGTGTTCTTTGAGCTTGGTTGTTTACTTGCAGACGTTTCATTACCCAACTAGGTAACATCATCAGTGCTTGGAAGGGAGTGGGCCAAGCTTGCATGTTAACGAAGAGGAAACCCCTATAACTTTCGAACACTTATTACCTAGTTGGGTAATAAAACATCCTGACTAAAACGACCTAGCTCAGAGAGCACCAAGGACACCACAGTTCAACCCTGGGTTACAGACATATTCTACGTCGATCTTTTATTGAACAAAAAACTGTTAGGCTTTCCAAATACTGTTAAACTGTAAAGGTACATGCCAATCATTTCCGGCTCTAGGGAACAGTGCTCCTCTCTGTGACAAAGCCAAAGAGCCAGCGCTGTCGTGGTCATGTGGCCGGCACGACTCAACCCTGGAGGCACACGGAACGCTGTTATACCTTCCCACCAAAGGGGTCCCTATTTTTCCACTTGCATTTTTTTTTACATGCTTTCGAACTGCTAGGTTGGCAGAAGCTAGGACAAGGAACGGGAGCTCACTCCGTCAACGCGGCGCTAGGGATTCGAACCGCCGAACTGCCGACCTTTCTGATCAACAAAGCTCAGCGTCTTAGCCAACGAGCCACCTCAGCGTCCCTTATCCAAATACCGTTACTGTGGCCTATAATAATAAATAAAGAGTTTTAACATTTCTTGTGGAGTTTGTTTTCCTGGCTCCTCTCAAAGGGCTGACAGCAAAGCACACATTTTTAATCCCTTTCGTTATCTTTCTTTGGATTTCATCTGGATTTTGGAGAAAGGCCAGTTGTCTAAAATCAGCTCAGGAACAAGACACTCTTTAGCATTTTAAACTTTTTTTTTTTTCAACACGCTGGTACAAGCTGACATCGCTTCATCTGTTCAAAGCCATTTTTCTCCTTTGCACGGTGCAGGTTGCACAGTTTGAAAACATGCCTTGAGCAGATCTACCCACCATGCATGAGCATCTCCATGGCTGTGTGCTGCTTGATCAGCTGCCGGTCTTCCAGATCGCTGTCCGATCCCTCGTCCTCGTGGATCTCCATGTCTGAGTCATCGTGACCTGAATAAAAATGAGAACCCCTTTGAGTTATTAACTGCCAGGGAGGCAGGATGAGGAAGTCACCTGGTCTTCCCAGCTTCATTTGTACCCTTTGAAAGAACCAAATTTGCAGATGATACTAAGCTGGCAGGAATAGCCAACAGCCGAGAAGATAGGCTCAAGATCCAGGGGGATCTTGACGGACTAGAATGCTGGGCCGTATCTAACAAAATGAAATGCAATGTAGAGAAAAGTAAAGTCCTACACTAAGGCAAGAAAAACCAAAAGTACACATAGAGACTGGATGAAACCAGGCTCAATAGCAGGAACTGGGAGAGGGATCTTGGAGTCTTAGTGGACAACCAGCTAAATATGAGCCAGCCGTGTGCAGCAGCAGCCAAAAAAGCCTAAACTGCATTAACAGGAATAAAATCGATATCAAGTGAGGTCCTAATACCATTCCATGAAGCCTTACTAAGACCACACCTAGAGTACTGCATCCAGTTTTGGTCACCCCACTATAAAAAAGATGTTGAGATTCTGGAAAGAGTGCAGAGAAGAGCAACCAGGATGATTAGGGGCCTGGAGGCTAAAACATTCCATAAACGGTTGCAGGAACCAGGCATGGCTAGTCTAGGGAAGAGAAGGGGAGACATGATAGCAGTCTTCTAGTGGCGGGGTGGAAAACTACTCTGAAGTTTCAATTCACTTTCCCTTTAAAACTTGAGTAATGTTGTGTATTCCTTTTTTGGGGGATACTTTTGATTTTTTTTTCTCCTTTTTCTTTCCATGTGATGAACACGTCAGACAAATTGTCCTGTCTGTATCAGGCCGAGTGAGATCACGCCGGGCATTTTTCACGCGCTTATCTTGCACCCATTATGTTTACAAACTCCGGCGGGAGCTTCGCTGGCGTAGACCATGCCATCTTCTTGCCGGCCAGCCGCCTATTCATCACAGAAACAGAAGGTCAGTCTTGATAAAACCCCAGATGCATTTTCTGTCAACTGACCTATGTAGTCTCACTCGCCGATTCACATTTACACAGATCTAAGCAATGGCATTTGGGCTCAGCTTGGTCTGCCAAGAAGCCCTTGGGGAAGAGCAAATAAGCGATGCTCTCAATTTTCTTGCCTTTCTACAAACATCCTAGGAGGACTCTATGAACCACTGGCTGCCCCTTATTACACGAGCAGGAGGGTTATTCATCACCAGGTTTTCAATTATACACGTCAAAATGTTTGATTTCAGAATATGGGAAGCCCGCCCCCGAAGAAACATGCTTTTAAAGGCAGAAAGCAGACCCACTTTCTTAATAGCCCTCCCCCCAGCAGTTATTTTGTGCCCATTAAGGAAGACTAGACCAGCCTATCTACAAAACGAAAGACCTCCAGCTCCAGGGTGATGGGATTAAGAACAGGACATGATCCTTCAGGGTATAATAGGATTAACCCATGACCATTTAGCAGAAGACACCGGAGCTCGCTACATTGCACAATCTCCTAAGGGCATTTCAGACACTGCACAATGCCCCCAAGAATGGTTTAAACTTCAAAGTCACAGAAACCCATAAAGATCCACCCACTCATTCAATCATTTGTTCAGCTGACCCAGAATTGCTGGTTCTGTTCATCATTAAACTTTCTTTCCAATCAGCTGCCATGTTATTTCCAGCATTTTCCTCCCAGCTTGAAACTTGAACCAGATGGATTTTCCTTCCAACAAGAATGATGCTTATCCTGTTTATAGTGGATCTGCTTCTCCCAAAGGTGCTTTGTCCAAGAGGCCACTGGACTTTCTGGTTTTTCTTTGAAGACATTTCGCTTCCCAGCCAAGAAGCTTCCTCCACTCACTCGGATGAGAAGTGAAAAACCAGAAAGTCCAGTGGCCTCTTGGAAAAAGCCCCTTTGGGACAACCATGACCTGGATGACTGAGAATCTCCATACTGGATCTGCATGTTCATAAGACCATGGTTGTTTCTCAGTCTTTAATTTGGGCTTTCTTTTTTTAAAAAAACAATTCAAGGTCCAGCCCACCTTGAATGCCTCTCTTATCTCTGCTCATTTCTCTTAACTGCCAATTAGAGTCTTGGAGAAAGCTTAACCTCGTAATCAATCTTTATACTCATTTGAACTGCCTGAACCTTCTGATTTCAAACTCTGGTTCACTATAGCATCAGGCAGATTCTACAGAGAGATATGCAACGAATCCTACAGAGGCTGTGCAACCAAACAAGACAGGCACAGATTTCAACGGACAATTAGAACTGCAGAAAAAAAAAAACCTGCTACCAACCTGCCTTCCATTGAGGACCTGTATACTGCACGAGTCAAAAAGAGGGCTGTGAAAATATTTACAGACCCCTCACATCCTGGACATAAACTGTTTCAACTTCTACCTTCAAAACGACGCTATAGGGAACTGCATGTCAGAATAACTAGACACACAGACAGTTTTTTTCCCCATGCCATCACTCTGCTAAACAACTAGTAATTCCCACAACACTGTCAAACTATTTACTAAGACTGTATTGCTATTCTTCTTCTCATGTTTTCTATTACCTATCTCCTTCTACTTATGACTGTAACTTTGTTCCTTGTATCTTTGCAATTTAGATTGCTTTATTTATTTTCCTAATATGATTTATGTTGAATGCTTATTTAATATCCTATGACTATCACTAAGTGTTGTATCTTATGATTTAGGATGAATGTATTGTTATGATGACTATGATTTATCACTTATAGCTTTTATGTACACTGAGAGCTTATGCACCAAAGACTTGGCCAATCAAGAATTCTATTCTATATGTCCCTTTTTCAGCTTCTGGCAAAGAACAAAATGTGTTTTGCATTTACCCAGAGATTCCTTGGATGGTGGTACCCCAGTACTCCGATGCTGCTCTTTCCTGGAACTTCTAATATTTCTTTACCAAATCTGTGAGATGCTCCTTTGAATGGCCAGCTCTGGAACTCAGCTCCCTGCCCCGATCCTTACGGCATTTTGCTAACATATAAACAACCTGACAGGATGTCTACGATAAGAAGGAACTGTGTGGGAGCTGAGATAATGATTGCACCAGGGGGAAATTTCAAATCCAGCACTTAATGTGCCTGGTTTCCTTACACTTTTCTCACAAACTTATCTCGTGGCCTTAGGCAAATGCTCATTTTTGACTGATAGTCTAAGGTGATGGGGATGAAATCTGCCAAACATTTTTAAAATGCAAGAACTCTGAATGGGTCCCCCATCTGCCTCTTCTCCCCTAGGCCTGTTAGTGCTCTTCATTTAGGATTTGATGCATTTTTCCAGCAGAAATGTAAGTAAACCAAGCAGACGGTCTCTTTACCTGCCTAAAATGGCTACAATGAAAGAAATGTTACAGAAAAGAGGGGTAAGAAATGGGAAGAGCCCCGCTCCAAAGAAAGAAACTATGAAATTCACTTGCAAATTCATTCTTCAAACCTTTAGTTAAGGCAGTAAGAAGCTTCACTTGGCAGATGGTTTTGCATATTTGCAATAGATCACTGGCCACCCCTGATATAGATCGAATGTTTCTTTTTCAAATTTCTGTGTGTGCAACAGGTTGAGATTTGGAAAAAGAAATAGTTCATCTCTATCGGGGGTGTCCAACTTTGGTGACTTGTGGACTTCAACATGGTTGGCGGGGGACTTCTGGAAGTGGAAGTCTACAAGTCTTAAAGTTGCCAAGGTTGGATACCCCTGATCTACAGTATATCAAATTCCTGGAAATCTGTTGCCCCTTTATATGCACTCTGAGCTATAATCTCCAGCTTTCCTGCCAACACTTCCAGGATTTTGCTATTTAAAATCAAGCTTCAAAGAAGAAAGGGCCTTCGGACTTCCTTGTACAGGACAGTTGTCCATTTAGATCCAACAAACCAGTTTGAAGCCAGTTGTTTGTTCTGTAACTTACAGAATAGAGTACAGAATAACAAGAGTTGGAAGGGACCTTGGAGGTCTTCTATCCAATCAAGCAGAAGATCCTATACCATTCTGGACAAATGGCTGTTCAATCTCTTCTTAAAACCTGCAGTGATGGAAGCCAGCCATTCTACTGATTAGCCATTCTCTTTGTCAGTAAATTTCTCCTTTGTTCTAGATTGGATCTTTTCTTGATAAGCTTCCCACTGGTTGCTTCTTGTTCTGCCATCCAGTGCTCTGGAGAATAGGTTGACCCCCTCTTCTCTCTGACAGTCCTTCAAATATTGGAAGACTGCTAACAAGTCATCCCTAGTCCTTCTCTTCATTGGACATACCCAATTCCCCCAACCAGCCATCATATGTTTTATCCCCCTGATCATCCTGGTTGCTCTTCTCTGCACTCTTTCCAGAATCTCAACATCTTTTTTGTAGTGCGGCGACCAAACTTGGATGCAGAAAGCAGTACTATCACTTCAGGTGATCTTGATGCTACTCTATCAGCTTAGAAACTTTAGTTTCTGCATCATAGAAAAAAAGGCATGGAACAGAGGAAAGCCACAAGCCAATAGAAAATCAACAAGCATGACAATATATCAACAAGAAAATCAACAAGCATGACAATATGTGGCTTAATTTCTTTAATTGCTCCCCTAGAGACCTTCTGTTCAGTTCAAGTTAACTCTGTTTGGCAGTATTAAAATTGCCCAGGTGATTCATCCACAGGGTTTTTGCTGACGTCTTATTTAAGATGAGTCAAAACGGTTGGCAGAAGCTACCAGATAAATTATTCCAATCTACTACTAATTTTTCCAGTCAAAAGTTGTTATGTTAATAATTAATATTGTTATATATTTCAATATCCAGCTTAATTGTATCCTGCTTGAAGGGATATGTTCCAACAGAGAGATTTGATCAAAGGGGTGACAAGCAAGAAAGAAGATTATCCGTTTTTCATTCAAGATTTTAAGCTGTCCCTTGCAGGAAATAAATCAAATGAAAGGTTGAGGGAATGAATGAGAACTAACAGAGGTAGCTTTTCACTGTGGTCTTTTAGATCACAAATGTTTAGGCATGGAAGAACAGGACTCGAAAAACTTGTATGAATAGCAACCCTGATGGACTCATCTATAAACCTGGATTACTTAAACAGTTAATGAACTGATCCGAGCTGAAATAATGTTACTAAAAGGTCAACTTCAATCCTGACTGACCTCCAGAAAGTGAGATAGACCCATCTATTCAATGAGCAATAGCTGTACATTTCCCTGCCAAAACTTGTCTCCTGCAAGCCGAAGTTTTCGACCTAAATATATTTGATTAAAAGCCAAATGCATCATGAGAAATCCCAGGGTTTCTTGTGGCCCTCAAAAGCTTTGTGGGAAGCCCAAAAAGTTATTTTGAAAAGCAACATGTTGTCATTTGAGAGCAATATGAGAGAAGGCAAAAAATGTTAGATAAACGTGTTTCATTTAATCGCCTTTCTCCTAACTGAGACAAGGGTGGAGACATAGACGGAGACATCTCTCAGATGTGATGGAATGTAGTCTGGATTCCCAGGTGGGAGGGGCTGCTTCCCAGAGAGCAAAGGGGTAGCGGAGCTTGGACTGTCTGGTAGTCAGGAAGAGGGCATAGCGGTTCACGTAGTGCGTCTATAGTTATGCAGATAGTTTTAGTCTGGCAAGATTCTGTCTCTAGGCAAACAGCAATAAAGAAACTACTTGGGAAGTAGCTCCACATGCCATTCCTGGTTTGTTGAGCTGGACAGAATATACGTCCAAGGTCAATTCAATTAGGCTGTTTTGGTTTTACCCATTTATTCAAAACTGGACATGGACAGGACTATCCTGCTGCATGAAAAAGTAACTCACTTCCAGTCTTCAGCAAACGTTTCTCTTCCTCCTTCAGCTTGTTCTGCATCAGCCTCAGGGTGTTTTCTGCTTCCTGTAAGGGGAGATCAAGATCTGGATGGCCACTGCTTGAGAATCCCTGGGCTCAGGAGATCGCTTTAATGATCTTCCACCCATTGCCTCAGGTATTCTGGAGAAGAGGTTGCCCCTCCCCTCTTCTCTGACACAGCCCCTCAAATACCAGAAGATACCTAACATGTCACCCTTAACCTTTCTCTTCATTAGGATAGACTAGAATGGGGGTCACCAACCTTTTGGACCTCAGGGATCACCAAACTCATAATTTTAAATCCCGCCGACCAAAGACCCTGGGAAACCCCCCCCAAAAAAGTCTGCAAGAAAATCCCCCACCCCGTTTTTCCTACCGATCAATCATTCTTTATTTGGGATCACAGGATACCGAATCCAGCTCGTTCTCAGGGAGAGAGGGAGAGACTTTTGGCTTCATGCAAGGAAAGCAGCAGAAGTCTTTCTTTCTCTCCCCCAAACTCCGCCAGAAATGAGTCTTTGTGAGTCTCATGTGGATGGTGAAGCCTTGTGTTCCCGCACAGCCTGGATTAATTGCTTTGGGCTGTGTGCTTTGGGGGTGACGTTTCTCTGTGGATCACCAAAATTTTCTTGCGGACCACCAGTGGTCCCCAGCCCACTGGTTGCCAACCACTGGACTAGAAGACCACTAAAAAATTCCCTTCTTGCCTGAAAAACAAACTTAAAAAAAACCTCTTTCATGCCTCTATTTTCTCCTGTTTATCTTTCATCTCTGATTAAATTCACTTTGCAGCATATTTACGGTTTGAAACAGATGGGCACTTAACATCGATTAGCCTCCGTATAATACCTAAGTAAGCTCTTAGACTGAGAAGTGGGAGAGTTAATTGAGAATACAATTTATTTTTCCTGCAAGCAAAGAAACTTCCCTGGCTGTGAAATGCCACATTAGAAATGGACATTCCACTAGCTGTCAAAATGGAAGCTCACACGGGAAAATTCAAGGAATTTTTGCCAGGGAGAATTTTAAGGTTGTTTCTCTTATGTTTTACCGAGGTTGATATGTGAACCTAGCAAAAGGTTTATAGGAGGCTGTATTGTTTTTGCCAGACAGGTTGATGATATAAAATTTGACTGACATAAATGGGGATGTTTGACTCAATCGGACTCACATTAAGCGGTGATTTAAAGAAAAACAGATCTATAGTTCCCACGGTTCAAGCTTTTGATCTGTGATGGCATGGTGACGATATGCAAATAAACAAACGTGATGCACAAAAGCAGAGTGGAACACATCGTTCTCTGCTCCACACATCACAAGCATTTGCCTATGCAAGTCCATTTTTGCTCTGGGGGGACAAATATCCTGAAATCTGTCAGCACAATCATCTCCCTACTCCCAACCTAATGTTCTCCAGAATGCCAGGATCACAGCTTGTAGAATTAACAGCCCAAACTTCAAGATCCATGCAGAACTGATCCAGGTATGGGAGGGGGAAAAAAGAACCACCTAGGTTGTTTCTGGTATAAATTATATTATCTGTTTTCCTTCTGTCTTTGTCTTGCTTTAATTTGCACCGCAGAAGGCTTCCAGCCGGCGATACAGCCAAAGAATCTCTAGCAATCAGTATTTTGACAGGGCCAGGATGTTCATTTATTTCTATTGATCATGTACTAATTAATAGCCTGTTTAATACCCTAGACCTCATGTCTTCAGTCTTCAAGCTGAGGAGGGAGAGGGGGTGGGAAAAACCCTATCGGAAGCACCGAGGTAATAAATCATTTTACATAATATTATAAAAGGAGGATGCAAATTCTGGAAGTTGAATTAGACTAGTTTGACTAGCTATCTCCCAAAGAAGGTTAAAAAGCTGAAAACAAAGGTGTCTGCAGAATAAACAGACAAAAACACCAGTTAATGAGGTTGATCAACACCAAAGCTCTGCAATGCACAATCTTATTTATCCCATAGGGTTCACACAAAGCTGCCTTCACAACTTTGATGCGTCTGCAGTGGTGTCTTGGTGCCTTCAAGTCACTGTTGGACACATTGATAACGTTGCATTGCCTTGATCAGTTCTTCCAATTGAACGAAGCCATGGCTCCTTACAGATTAACAGAGTTGGAAGGGACCTTGTAGGTCATCTAGTCCAAACTCCACCTCTGCCCAAGCAGAAGACCCTACACCATTTCTGACCAATGGTTGTCCAGTCTCTTCTTGAAAGCTTTCATTGATGAAGCTCCCGCAACTTCTGTTCCATTGGTTGATTGTTCTCACTGTCAGAAAATTTCTGCTTATTTCCAGGTTGAATCTCTCCTTGATCAGTTTCCATCCATTATTCCTTGTCTGGCCTTTGGGGGCTTTGGAAAATAGCCTGACCCCCCTCCTCTCTGTGGCAGCCCTTCAGATATTGGAAGACTGCTATCCTGTCTCCCCTGGTCCTTCTCTTCACTAGACTAGCCATACCCAGTTCCTGCAACCGTTCTTCGTATGTTTTAGCCTCCAGTCCCCTCATCATTCTGGTTGCTCTTCTCTGCACTCTTTCCAAAGTTTCAACATCTTTTTTATAGTGTGGTGACCAACATTGAATGCAGTACTCTAGGTGTGGTCTTACTAAGGCTTTATTGAGTGGTATTAGTACCTCCCTTGATCTTGATTGTATCCCTCTGTTAATGCAATTTAGGATTGCATTAGCTTTTTTGGCTGCTGCTGCACACTGCTGGCTCCTATTTAGCTGGTTATCCACTAAGACTCCAAGATCCCTCTCACAGTTACCGCTATTAAGCCTGGTTTCACCCAGTCTATATGTGTACTTTTGGTTTTTCTTGCCTGAGTGTAAGACTTAACTTTTATCTTCCTTCCTTCCTTCCTTCCTTCCTTCCTTCCTTCCTTCCTTCCTTCCTTCCTTCCCTTTCCTTCCTTCCTTCCTTCCTTCCTTCCTTCCTTCCTTCCTTCCTTCCTTCCTTCCTTCCTTCCTTCCTTCCTTCCCTCTCTCTCTCTCTCTCTCTCTCTCTCTCTCTCTCTCTCTTTCTTTCTTTCTTTCTTTCTTTCTTTCTTTCTTTCTTTCCGTCCATTATTCTTTCTCTGGGCTTAGAAAACATCTTGACCCCCTTCCTCTCTGCGGCAGCCCCTCAAATATTGGAAGACTGCTATCCTGTCTCCCCTGGTCCTTCTCTTCACTAGACTAGCCATACCCAGTTCCTGCAACCGTTCTTCGTATGTTTTAGCCTCCAGTCCCCTCGTCATTCTGGTTGCTCTTCTCTGCACTCTTTCCAAAGTCTCAACATCTTTTTTATCGTGTGGTGACCAAAATTGAATGCAGTACTCTAGGTGTGGTCTTACTAAGGCTTTATAGAGTGGTATTAGTACCTCCCTTGATCTTGATTGTATCCCTCTGTTAATGCAGCTTAGGACTGCATTGGCTTTTTTGGCTGCTGCCGCACACTGTTGGCTCCTATTTAATTGGCTGTCCACTAAGACTCCAAGATCCCTCTCACAATTGGACTCCCTTGGGTTCCTTCTGCTCTACAAAAATTGGCCATCTCTTTAGCACTCTACTTGACACAACTAAAGTTAACTTCGGAATCAATGTAATAAGCCATGGCAGTAAGACTGAGTGGTTCTCCTTCCTTTTGTTTGTGTCTGGATGTGCCTCCGAGTCTTTGTTGACTCCTGGTGACTTCCTGGACGAGTCCCTGCAGTTTTTTTTGGCAAGGTTTCATTGCCGTCTTCTTCCTAGGGCTGAAACAGAGGGACTGCCCCAAGGCCATCCTTGTACCTAAGGTGGAGCTAGAACTCATGGTTCCCTGGTTTGTAGACTGATGACTTAACTAGGACACCAAGAGGGCTTCTTTGCTGAGGGAACCCCAAAGATCCCCAAAGATTTGAACTTCTAAAGACGAGACAATCCCTAAGCATAAAGATTTACGGTGAAAACGATCACTCTCTCTGCAATCCTTGGCCTTAACTATGTCAAAAGTGGGCAGATACAACTGGGAAGATTGAGCAGGCAAAGCTAATTGACTCAGGTCCCAGAGGTGCTTTTTCAAAAGGCAACTGGACTGCATTTTGCAGGAGGAGGAGGAGCAGAGGAGGAGGAGGAGGAGGAGGAGGAAGGAGAAGGAGAAGAAGAAGAAGAAGGAGAAGGAGAAGGAGAAGGAGAAGAAGAAGAAGAAGAAGAAGAAAATTTTGCTTCTTGGAAACTTCGTCTTCTTCCTCAAGGAAAAAAACTTCCTTAAACCTCCTGAAACATAAACATTTAATCTAAGCATTCTTTAATTAAACAACATTTAATTAAAAGTTAAAGGCCTGGAGACTAAAACATAATGAAGAACAGTTGCAGGAATTGGGTATGGCTAGGCTAGAGTAAAGAGGGACTAGGGGAGAGATGATAACAGTGTTCCAATATCTCAGGGGTTGCCCCAAAGAAGAGGGAGCCAAGCTATTCTCCAAAGCACCTGAAGGCAGGACAAGAAGCAACGGGTGGAAACTAATCAAGGAGAGAAGCAACCTAGATCTAAGGAGAAATTTCCTAAGAGTGAGGAAAATTAACCAGTGGAACTTCAAAAGTTGTAGGCGCTTCATCACAGAAGGTTTTTAAGAAGAAACCATACAGGCATTTGTCAGGAATAATACAGGGTCTCCTGCTTGAGCAGTGGGTTGGACTAGAAGACCTTCAAGGTCCCTTCTAGCTCTATTCTATTCTACCTTAAAACATCCTTAGCACTTTCACCAAAACAGTCCAAGACAAGGAGAAACAGAAGAGCCGATACTTCTTGCTTCTTTGCAACCCCTTGCAGGTTCTCTTCCCCTACACACACCAGAGAGACTCTTCGGATCCTCACAGTTCAATCCAGGAGGGTCTCTAGTTTCCACAATCCTTCCTCATTTGACATGCCAGAGCAAGAAACATTAATCTTATGCAAGAACGGAACAACGACAAGCAGGGAAGAAGACGGAAATGCCAGATTCCAACTCACAAGAGTTTATCTTTTTGTTGTTGTTGTTGTTGTTGTTGTTTTTGCTTGAACATTATGTATCCTCGGACACAAAGAGCTTGAAGTTTAAAATTATGTCTGGGAGAGAAGGCCAAGAGGGATGGGAAAAAGATGTAAATGCTGGTAACTGAGATCAGGAAGCCACACTGTTGTTGGTTGTTGCTGTTGTTGTTTTAAAAGGAATCATTAAGGGACTACGATGTGTTACCAGCCTACGTTTCTTCATAATGAGTCCTTTTCTTTTTCCAATGGCTTACTCTTTGCACAGCGTTTCCAACAGGTCTCCTATTTATTTGCTTACTTTCCCCTCTGGAGCTGGTGAAAAGTACGAATTGTAATGATTCAATAAAAAAGCTCATTTGCTATTCTCCTGATGCATTAGAAATTCTAGTGCATTTAGTTTACTTTGGTGAGCTGGTTGAATGCACAGGCTTTATAGGAATACGCTGATAAAAAAGCAGGAACATTTTGCAATGCTTGAAAAAGTTTGTCAGGCAAATTAATTCTGACAGAGGACTTAGATTAACACAGATGGGGCTAAGGGCAATCTTACTAGCTTAGGATGTCACAATTGTCTTCATGCATATCGGAAACGACATCTGTGCACCTGGGAGAGGCCGACGAGGAGTTGGGGTGGGAGAGAGAATTGTGAACACTGGAATTAGAAGATGTTATTTTATGTGCATTGTTTCCACTGGTTCTACAACACAGAGCCTTCAATGCAACTCCCTTTTTATAACCCTGCAATTCCTTAATTCAGGGTAGAGTCAGGGCGACTGGATGGGGCTGAACATTAGAGCCTTCAATGCAACATTATGGGGCATCTTTTAATGTCATATCTGAAGATGCTGAGAAATACCTTCTTAACATATATCATAATAACATATATATCATATCATATCATATCATATCATATCATATCATATCTATCTATCTATCTATCTATCTATCTATCATCTATCATCTCTATCTATCTATCTATCTATCTATCTAATTTTCTGTAAGTCACTGAGAGTGGATGGCCATATAAATTCTCTAAATAGCCCTTGATTTATAACCACAATTGAGCCCAACATTTCTGTTGCTAAGTGAGACAATTGTTAAGTGAGTTTGGCTCCATTTTATGACCTTTATTGCCACAGTTGTTAAATGAATCACTGCAGTCCTATTCTGTACCACTGGTTTTTTTAAAAAAAAATCTAAGGTAAAGGGTTCCCCTCGTACATATGTGCTAGTTGTTTCCGGCTCTAGGGGCCGGTGCTCATCTCTGTTACAAAGCCAAAGAAGAGCCAGCGCTGTCCGAAGACGTCTCCGTGGTCATGTGGCTGGCATGACTAAACACCGAAGGCGCACGGAACGCTGTTCCCTTCCCACCAAAATGGCCCCTATTTTTCTACTTGCATTTTTTACGTGCTTTCGAACTGCTAGGTTGGCAGAACCTGGGATAAGTAATGGGAGCTGACTCCATGATGCGGCACTTAGGATTTGAACCGCTGAACTGCCGACCTTTCTGATCGACAAGCTCAGCATCTTAGCCACTAAGCCACCGCTCTACAGAGAACAAAAATAAAGAATAGGCCTGATTACACACTTAGATACTGAATGCCATTTCTTTTCATTGGCCTTTACAAATGGGAAGAGAAACTTTTCAAAAGCTTGTTGTTGTGTAATCCAGAGGGTCTCAGTTAGATGACAAAATGTTTGCTCAATCTTTGATTTTCTTTTCCAATTAAAAATGTAATCTAGCCCATATTACCAGCTGTGGTACAAGAGCAAAGAACACAGAGCATTGTATTTGCCAAGCGGTTTAGAGATTAGAACTAGATCACCTTATAAACATTCATTTCTCCCTCAGGCAAGGAGAAAAAAAAAAAGCACAATTTCTTAAAAACACTCCGGGAAAACAAACACATAAGCAAGTATCTTGATCCTCTCAAAAAATAGAGGCCAAAGGATGTTATTTTCTTTGCACCTGGTTTACTAGAGCAGTGGCCCCCAACCTTTTTTGTGCCATGGCCCGGTACCAGCATCACAAAATGATTTGCAGCCCGGTACCGGCATCAGCACGCATGACAAGGCAAGGCGAGCCGAGCGACCGGCCAGCCAGCCGTCCCCCACTTCTCCCCGCCACCTTCAACTCCTCCTTTGTACCTTTTTTGTGCTTTCTTAATCTCCTCCGCCATCAGGACGGCTCTTCGTTCGAAGCCGCTCCCCCCCTTCAATGAAACTAAGGCGCGAGGATTCCTTCAGGACCCAAACGCCGCTTTCCAACTGGAAAAGCTCACCCGGAAGCACTTTCTCGTCGAAACAAGATGGCGGCGCCCAGCAAACCGGCGGCCCGGTAGAAAATGATCCACGGACCAGTACCGGTTCGGGGCCTGGTGATTGGGGACCCCTGTACTAGAGTGTTTGCTAAACTGGCAGAAGAGGCAAATCAGAACTAAGAATTACCAGCAAAAGTCCATTACAAAAATTGCAACTTAATTTCTAATTTCTTTGTTAATATGAAGAAGGAGATAATGATTAGAAAGGACTGGAGTGCAGTTCTAAAAATGGCTGGAATAAATGACTTTCCAGCATTGGCAGTAAAAATTTCTGGCAAATATGCTCAAAAGGTAAGCAATTAGTACAGCAAAAAGGGGGAAAAAGCTATTCTTTCCAGACACTTGGCCACCTAACCTCATTTTAAAGACAATTTGGGATGAAGATTCTGAGGTGCCTTTAAGTTCTTTAAAGGAAGCCCTTGAATTTTTAATTGCAAAATTCTTCTATAAATGTATTGATACCTTAACGCTACAACTAATATAGATGAAAATCATCAGGACAGAATTTGTAAATTCAATTTAAACAACTCAGCTAAAGAAAACAAGCATAATATATATAGACCAATTTATTTGAATAAGAATGAAGGACATCTGTGTAAGAATACAATATAAAGATATTAAAAGTCTGTATATTGTGCCTGTGTGTTGTTTTCTATTTATGGTTCCCACTTGGAAAGCTGAAACTATGATGTAGACTAATGTAAGATTAAGAGTAATAGCTTCCTTAGCTTATAAAGGAATATATTGCTGTGAAATTAGGGTGGTTTTTTTAATGCAACTAGGCAACGTTTCATGTACCAAAGATATATCTCACTGCAGAAATTAAGCTATTGGCTTGGACAGGTAAAATAATTAACCTACCCATTCCCAAAGAATTTCTATAATTCCTTAAAATGTCTGTAGGCCATTTTTTAAAAAAAATAAAAAAGATGAATTACACAACCAGAATCCAGTGCATGGGTCGATGTACTTTACTATAATGCTGGGGAAAACGGGGCTCACAATTACAAATGACTCTGCTGTTACTCCATTTATTCATGGCGCCTCTCATCACCCAGGTGGGATTTTCAAAGGAATTGTATAATTTTATTTTTATGGATCTTTGGCTATTCTTTGAAAAGAGGGCAGTTTTCTGAAAAAAATGAAAATCAGTAACCTGAGGATTACAGAATGCAGAATCAAGCTCTAACGCTGAGTATATCCAACAACTAGGATGAAACAGCAGATAACAGAATGGTGTTTTAGGGAGGCGCCTGGTAGAAATTCTGACTAAAGCAGTTTAGGTACAGCCATATTTAGAAACGCTCACCTCAAACCTCTCTTGCTCCATTCGGTGTTGGTCATCCAGCTGCTGTTCCAGGTATGTCAAGTTACGAAACTTCTCCACGTAACAGCTATATTGTTTCTGCAACTCCTCCTCAATTTTCTCATATTCATCCATAAAGGCTGGGCTGGTAAGGACGAAAAAAGCTGGATTTCATACAATGCAGTAAGCCATGATTTATTTAATCATGATTTATTTGTTATAACTAGCTGGGAGAGAGCCTGGCTGACAAGCAGCCACCAATTCTTCATTGCCCAACATTAGGCTGATCTGTCCCAAAGGCAGGAAACATGGCTGGAGTTCCTGGGGTTTATGTAGTTGAAGCTCCAATGAATTTGCAGGTTGCCACCAGCTGCTAGAAAAAAAATTGATTGCTGAAAAGAATCCATTTTTTTAAAACAACAACATTTGTGGTGGGTTTAAAAGTCATTACAATGAAAAGCTTAAGCCAAAATGACTGAGTAAAGCTCGAAGTAGCCTATGCTTGTTTATTTGGAAAGATGGTAGCATAGGATAGGACAGGATAGGACAGGACAAAAGACAAGACAAGATATAAGATGCGACAAGGCAAGATGAGATGAGATGATGAGATGAGATGAGATAACCTTTATTGCCTTTTTTTATTGTGAGCACACTTGCACATATTAATTCTGATGCCCGGTCTCAAAAGAAAAAAAATATATACACCCATACACCTACATGCACACACATATACATATGCTACACACACACATCTATCTATCTATCTATCTATCTATCTATCTATCTATCTATCTAT